AAAACTATGATCAAAAGGATATCCGGACATCTTGGTGAGACTATGAGACTACACTAGAATGCTTACCAACGTTACTGTCGAGGGCATTTTATAGGTTGAGAACACAAAGAAAGGCGGGAACTCGGTAGCGGGAAAATATGGCGGGAGATACTGGCGGGAACTAGAGAGCGCGAAAAAATGGCGGGAACGAGCAAAGCGGGAAAATATGGCGGGAAGTAGAGAGCGGGAAAATTTGGCGGGAACGAACAAAGCGGGAAAATATGGCGGGAAGTACAGAGTGGGAAAATTTGGCGGGAACGAGCAAAGCGGGAAAATTTGGCGGGAAGTAGATTTAAGCGATTTAAGCGAGGATCGTACGGGGCAAATATGATGACATGCATCAGTCGGCCTATAGCTGGCCAATTAGGGCTAATCGGCCTACAGATGATTGATTAGTCCCAGGGTCTTCACTCCTGGCCGATAGGCCATTCGGCCAGCAGTAGGCTGATAGGAAGCTAGTCGGCCTGTTATAGGCCGACTAGGTCCAGTCGGCCAGCTGTGGGCTGACTAGGTCAAGTCGGCCTGCTGCGGGCCGACGGTGTATTATTTTTAAAAATTATATATCAGGCGTAATATTTGTGCAAATTAATAAAAAAATGTATCATTTTTTAAAAAATAGTCTTCTAATTGAAAACATTCAACCGTATTGTGATTGTGTGAGCATTCAAGCCAGCATCAATGAGGGTGGAGAGGAGGATAAGTGGCAACACAGATGGGGTTCTGGGTTTCCATGTGTTGAAATAAAAAAATGTGGACGTATTCGAGTCTAGAATCATGGTTATTAGGTTATGGGATTGTGTGGTATTTTTTTCTTAAGTTCCAACGCACATGCTCTTTTGCTAGTATAGTAATAAAACAGAAAAAATAGGGACAAAAAGAGAACAGGTGGCTACGATGGTGCTGGTGTTTCTAGCCACTATGCTAAGAACAGGTTCGCGTTAGGATATGAAACGCAACCAACTTGAGGGAAAACACTCGGGTTTTTTCTGTTTTCTCCTTATTTTTATTTTTTTTGTTTGGTTTTCTTATTTCTTCTTCAAGTTTTTTTCGTCATTATACTTCAGATTTTCTTTTGGGTTTTTATTTATTTCTTTCATTCTTTTATTCGTTTTTCTTTTCTTTCTCCTTCTTCTTCGTTTTTTGTCTTCTTTCTTGGTTTTCAATGTTTTTGATTTTTCTTTGTTTCTTTATTGGTTTACATATCAATTCTTTTTTACATTTGTTTCTTAGGTTTCATTTTTATAATTTTTTCTGTGTTTTTATTTTTATTTTTATTTTCATTTTCTTTCTTTTTTTGATTTCCATTCTACATTTTTCGTATATGTCAAGAATATTTTCTAATACACATTTAACATTTTCTAAATACAAGATTAATATATTTTAAATATATGGTCAAAAAAATTCTATACACATTAAATATTTTATGGAAATTCTTGATTAACATTTTTCAAATACTCCCTCCGTCTCAAAATACTTGTCGGAGAAATGGATAAAATTGGATGTATCTATAACTAAAATACGTCTAGATTCATCCATTTCTTCGACAAGTATTTCCGGATGGAGGAAATACAAGTTTAAGATTTTTTAATACATAGTCAACATTTTTTCTATACGCATTTCCAAATGTTTGATCAATATTTTTTAAATACTTGGTCAATATTTTTAAAATGTTTGATTAAAAAATTTATATCCACGAAAGAAAATTCTTCATTTTCTAAATATATGGTTAACATTTTTTTAATGCACATTTAACATTTGCAAATGCTTAATTATCATTTTTCAAATACTTATTCAACATTCTTTTAAATGCTTGATTAACATTTTTATATACATGGTAAACAAATTTTATCATTTTTAATATATGATCAACTCGTTTGTACACATTTAACATTTTCCAAATGCTTGATTAACATTTTTCAAATACTTGTTCAACATTTTCTGAAATTCTTGATTAACATTTTTTGTATTCATGATCAAAACATTTCATCATTTTTCTAATACATGCTCAACGCTTATTGTATACAAATTTAACTTTTTACAAATGCTTGATAAACATTTTTCAAATACTTTTTCAAACGTTTTTCAAATGCTTGATTAACATTTTTCAAATATATGATCAACTTTTTTATACATTTTTATACATGATAAATATTTTCTATATATACATTTAATATTTCAAATACTTGGTCAACATTTTTTAATGTTTTTATAGATTGTTTTGTAATATTTATTTAGAATTTTAAAGTATAAACAAAAGCAAAAAAATAAAGCAAAAAATAAAACATAAAACGTAAAAAAACAGTAAAGGAGGTTGTAGCCTTCTGTGCGGCTGGGCCGGCCAATCTGGAGCTTCCCCGATGCGAGGCTTGCCTTCTGTCTCGCTACAGCGAGACATACTGGCACCCGTCCCTACTTGGCTCATGTCTCCGCCCCTGCCGTTTTTCATCGGTAGACACAAATTATGAAGATAATTACTTTCATTGAAATTACATAATTTCTGTAGTTCTAATATTGACGGTGGTGTGAGTAGAGGATTCTTTGGCGGTTCAGTTTTTCTGAAGGTATGTTGTGTTATTCCATCTAGGGACACCACGGTGGCAGGACCCTCGACCCTCGCGTCGCCTCGTCTGGCGACTCGGGGGTAAAAAACCCTAGCGCCGCCACCCTCTTCCCCTTCCCCCCAGCCGTCCTGCCGCCGCCAGAGGACGCCCCCGGCGAAGCTCGGGCCGGCCCCAAGGAAGGCGGCGGCGGGGCGCCAGGTCCTGGTCTCCGAGGCAGCGGCAGTTGGAGGCGCGGCGAGGCGCGAGGTGGGCGGCGTGCGGGTTGGACCCGATCTGGGGTTCCGGCGCGCCCTGGACGCGGCTGTGCAGGGGCCCGCGTGCACGACGCGAGGCCGCTTCGAGCGACGCGGTGGCGCGCGGGGGGGTTTCCCCAGAGCCGATCTGCTGGGGTTGGCCTTCCCCCCGTGGCGCGGCTCTCCTTTCCCGCGGGGCACCGCGGCTGGCGGCCCGCCTGCGGCTCGGATCCATGGCGGCGGCCATGGCTGGTGGCACGCGGCGTAGCTTGGCGGCGGGCGGCGCCGGCGTGGATAGGTGGGCCACTTCCCTGGCCATGTGGATGGCGGGGAGGTGGTGGGCTTCGGCTGCGGCGGCGGATCCTCGCTGGATGTTGGTGGCCATGGTGATGTTCGTCCTCGACCCCGATCTACTCCGATCTGCAGCGGATCCAGCCCTTGGTGGCTTCGGTCACCGTTCTTGGGTGCTGGCCTTGCAGATCCGGTGGCTGGAAGGGTTCCGGGGGAATCTCTTGGCCAGCGTGGCGGCCACTCCGATGGCAGTGCCTTTGGGTGTTGCTTCCCTCGTTGGAGGCTTCGGAGAGGACCTCCTTCCTTCCACCCCTCCCAGGAGCTCAGGTGAAAACCTCAGACCCCCCTGTTCCAAGCGACGACGACACCACGGTGGCGTGCTCCTTTCTGAAGGCGTTGCTCGGGGGCTGCTCAAGCGGCGGTGGAAGTGGCGGCGGTTCGGTGTCGACATATGCATTCTGATCAGTTTCATCTTGGAGGCTGCGGCGACGTAGGCGACGCTCGTCTGGTGGAGCTAATGCCGATGGTCAAGGCATCGTCGGCAGTCTGCGCCATCAGGTTCGGGATGCTCAGGGGGAAACCCCAGATCTGGGTCTTTCGGATCGGATGATGATGGTGTTCTATCGCTTTCCCTTCTGGGGGCATCGTCTTGGAGCAAGTGCTGGCTGGAGGGATGGTGGAGCGGTGTTTCATCTCACACATTGGATGGCGGCGAAGATCGATGGCATGGCGCTGTGGAGACTCGGCGCCCGATGCGCGGAGATGGGCTCGCGCAGGAGGAGGTTGCTGTCTGGCGTCATGGTGACGTCGATGGCTGAGTGGCCAGACAAGGTAGAAGCCTCAATATGATCTAAAGACCTGTGGAAGATGGCGGCGACGACACACGAGTGCGTCTGATCGGATTGTGCCCCAGACCCGGTATGTGGCTCGGCTGGGGCTTCCGAATGAGTTTCGGCTTCCGGCTTTTGATGTTAGGCTTAGATGAGTGGTTTGGGTAGTGGCCCAGCTAGCACCCCTTCATCATTTTGGATAGGAGTAGGGGCATATGTTGCCAAGATGGTGGACTCAGACACATTGTTGTAATACTTTGTAAGGTCCTCGAGAATAATCAATAAAGTGGCCGTATGCATCTCTCAGATGCAGAGGCCGGGGTCATCCTCCTTTTCTAGAAAAAGGGACACCACGGTACCATAGGGAGTACAGAATTTACCTATTGATTCCTCCAATACCGACACCTCCATCAGCGAGTTGTTCTCTTTGGTATTTTTTATTTCACTTAACGATGCAAAACATTAAGACGTGGGACATGAGTGTCTCGTCCCCGTCTAGACCAACGATTAACAAACGGACTGCGCTCGTCTAATAAGGACTAGACGTGGGCCACGTTATTGTTCCAAAACGGAGAGCAAACTGTGTAATACAAAGGACAATACAACTTGACGCACAAAGCTATAAGAAGATGGACTGCACATATTTCAGTAGCATATATAGGCCCGAAGCCAAAACGAATATCCACAACTTAAAACATAAAATATTGGAAGCGAAGCTCGTCTTTGCACTATACAAGATCAACGTGTGGTTCAAAAAAGGCACACTAAAGTTGGATGTACACACATGGTGATACTAACACTGAATATAGAGGATTTGACATCATTATTTATAAAATATACTGTATAAACAATTTAGAGTAAACTATAAGAAAAATTGAAGTCACGCCTATAAGTTACATCCCATAGTGCATAACCACTGACAATCTAGAATTTTAATTTGTCACCTCATATCTACAACCTGTGAGAGATCTAATCTACACAAACTATGGATTGCTAATTCTCATTTGACTGAGTATTTTCATATTCGATTGTGACTCCAAAAATTCTCAGCCCATGGCCACCTTTGAATTGAACATGGGTACGAGTATGATCTCTGGCCGGTGGATTATGACCTGCGGCATTACTGGCACCAAGAATACTGGAGCCGCCTGGTACACCGGATTACGCTGCTCTGCCGGCCAGAACGCCGCCGCGTGGGGTGGTGTATGTTGGGTAGCTCTGGCTGCTGATGTCGACGTGGTGGTGATCAAAGAAGCCGTGTCATCTGTAGAGTCTGCCGTTAACAAAGTCGACGACGCTATCCGCCGTGCGAGAGTGGGGGCGAGCGGCGGCTTGGAGGGCGCCGTGCCAACCGTCGACGTCTCGCACAACAGATTCGGCGACGTCGTGATCCGCGCCACGAGAGAGGGAGTGGGAGCGGCCAGGCCATGGGAGGGCCGCCCGCCGACGTCGGCCGTCTTCGCCGACAACAGAGCTGGCGACGTCGCGCTACGCCGCATGGGAGCTGGTTTTCCGAGGGCCTGGGAGGTCGGCGACGGGGCGGCGGCGTCGCGGAACAGGTAGACCCGGAACCGGCGCGTGTTCTGGTCGTTGAACAGCCGGGCCTGCAGGTCCCGGTAGAGCAAGATGTCCAGCATGTCCCGGAGGTCCTCGTCCGTGTCCACGTCGCAGAGCGAGTCCAGCCCCTCGCCGGAGTAGCAATACTTGACGGAGAAGTTGGAGAAGCCCGCGCGCGCCGCCAGCAGGTCGCGGAAGCCCCTCGTCGAGACGGACGAAAGGACATTCAGGAGCAGATGCTCGCCGCCGACGTACCTCGGCGGCCGACCCTCAGCGCGCTCGATCCTCCCGCCGTAGCTAACTATCAGCTTCACGCGACGTTGCTGGCCGGCTGCCATGCTCGGTGCGCGGCGGTGCTGGTCAGTTGCCATGCTCGGTGCGCGGTGTCGCCGATCTTCTCGCGAACGGGATTCCAATGATCCGGTGGGTGGAGGTAGACTGGAGGGGGGCGTAGTATGGTGCACGGGGAAAGCTACTGCCGTCGACGCAGTTATATAGGTTGAGCTTTGCCCCCTTCGAGCGAGAGCCGGACCCGGACTCGTGACCGAACGATTTGAGCTTTGCCCCCTTCGAGCGAGAGCCGGACCCGGGCTCGTGACCGAACGAGATACTATGT